CTAACTGTGTATGTTCTAATGAACACTCCAACAATGAACTCATGTTCGCCCCTAACTGTGTATGTTCTAATGAACACTCCAACAATGAACTTATGTTCGCTCCTAACTGTGTATATTATAATAAACACTCCAACAATGAACTCATGCTCACCCCTAACTGAGTATGTTCTAACGAACACTCCAACAATGAACTCATGTTCGCCCCTAACTGTGTATGTTCTAATGAACACTCCAACAATGAACTTATGTTCGCTCCTAACTGTGTATATTATAATAAACACTCCAACAATGAACTCATGCTCACCCCTAACTGAGTATGTTCTAACGAACACTCCAACAATGAACTCATGCTCGCCCCTAACTGAGTATGTTCTAACGAACACTCGAACAATGAACTCGTGCTCGCTCCTAACTGTGTCTGTTCTAACGAACACTCCAACAATGAACTCGTACTCACTCCTAACTGTGTATGTTCTAACGAACACTCCAACAATGTGGACACTATCTGTGTGTGTTATGATAAAAACGACGTTCGTTCACGATTTTTTTTTCCTGTTGTTTTTAGTTTGCATGTTAGGCCATGCAATTATAAACTAAGTTGTGTCTTATTTTTGTACCGAATATTTGATTACACCTTAAGTAAGAACAAAGATAATTTTACAAAACCGAATTATTTTAAAAATACATACATCGATGAACCTGTTTTAAGTATTAATATTTATGTATAAGCTGAACTCAGATTTAGCCTAGTTATTAACGTGTCGAGGTTCTAGGGTTCGAGAGAGGGCGTTGCTGAACGCGTTCTGTGCTTTCAGCTGCGAATGTGTTATACAAGTGACAGTCAAGCGAGTTTTAACGCGTGTGTTTGCATAATAAGAAGTTCTGAAGAAAAAATTTACAAAATATATTAAGTTAGTTTATCTGAGGTTTCTTGAGACTGGTTGTTGTAAAATAATATTTTTTCAGTGAAAACGACAGTCAGGTTGAAGAATATTTTTTTCTTCTTTAAGTGGGTAATAGACGTATCAGATCGCGCGTGTGTTTCTGAAGAAAAGCTTTATTTTGAATAAAACAAAACGCTACTCCTGCGATTTCTTCTACATCCGTTAGTGTTTTCTAAGTAATACAAAGTTATCGGGGGGGGGGGAGTTATTTTCTGGTTGAAATGTTTCTTTATCTCTTTCAGATATTCGCGCAAAGTTACACAAGGGCTGTCTTTGCCAACCGTCCCTAATTTTGGACTGAAAGTCTAGACCATGGGGGACGGTAGCTAGTC